GGGGGGGGGGGGATTCAAGTTGGAGAGGCTTATAGGAAAAGAGGAGACGAGGGAGGTGATGGGGGAGACAAAACCCTGGGATCAAATGAATTTCACATTGCTTTTTCTTCTCCTGCATTGTTGAGCACTTATTGAGAGAGAGTAGTTGGAGACCATCGCGGAATTTCAAGAAACTATGGAGTTTGAAAGAAGCCTAAACATATCCTTCATACCTAAAGAGGGAGTAGTGAGCATCAAGGGTTATACGGCTATTAGTATGCTTTGAAGCATCTATGACATATGTGCTAGACTGACTGTCTATTTCTCAAAATCTATTTTTGGAAGAATAACAAATATTGGATGTGGTTTTTGGTGGCAAATGAAGTGGTTGGCTCTAGAAGGAAGAGCGAAGGATCTTACGCAAGTTGGACCTTAAGAAGGCTTGTGATCACGTGAATTAGAATTTTGGACTTCATCATACGAGGATGTAATTTGGTGACAAGTAGAGGAGGTATCTTTTCTTAGTTATGCTATTGTCCGAACCACTACTAAGCTTTCCGCAAACTTAAGTGTATAAAAATCATAAAATTCGCCACTTTAAGCAATGTCACGGGAAAATTCAGGGACGTCATGTTTAGATATTTTTTCTGAATTTTTTTTGTAAAAATCAAAGATGGGTGGCCCCCAATGCTTTGATCTAGTGGTGAAAGTGCATAGTGTGATGTGTGGCTTAGGTGTACGTCGCAGGCTCTAACCTTGCTACCGACAAAAGCCTGACATTTAAGTGGAAAATAGAGGGGCAGGCTCATTATCCACCAAGTTTCAAACCGTGTGGCACTGATCCTCGGGGATTTCTCAATTATCGAAAAGAGAAATTCAAAGATGGAGTTTAGGATGTATTTATCGAAAAAATAAAAAAGATACACCATTTTGTTTAAATAGCAGGTTCTGGTGTCCGACAATAAGTTTTTCAAAAATCAAAAACACCAAATGGTAGGTTTTCACTATACTAACACTCTAAACTAACACAAAAGGTTTTCAAAGACATGTTGTCAAAAACTAATTAAACACACTTGTCCCCCAAAGTTATTTTCCCAAAACAACTTTTCACATTTACTAGTTTGGAAAAATTAAACCAAATCAAATCCAGACAGCACCTTAAGTTAAATTGAAGGGTGCGAAGGTATCAGCTCTTAAATTTATCCTTTGTTTCTTTCAAGAAATAGGAGGGGAAGCTCGACAAGCAAGCATTTTGTATGAAACTGATAGAGATCACAATCCATTTCAATTTTGCCCATGTTCATGCAATCTTGTTATATTTCGAAGCCATCGTGATTTTTCGTTGAGGAAAGTCCAACACTTCCTATTTTAAATAATGTGTAATGATTTGCATGAGTAACTTCTCCTATGTAAGCTCATTTATGGCACGAGAATCTTGTCTTCTTGCTAACTGCTTCTTGCTAACACCTATTCACCAATGAAAGAAAAGAATTCCATGTCTTCTTCCACATGTGTTTATCCTTTTGATTTGACTATCAGAGTATAGTGCAATCTTGCAAAGAAGAGAAGCAACTGAAATCATGGTCGTTGTACACTACTTTGAGGTGACCGTTAGCTGAGACTCTTGGGTGGGTGCAGAGGGAGGAAGATCTTCTAGACTGATTGATATCTTAAAAAATAGAACCAACCCCATAACTTTGTGCTACATAAGTCATGCTGCAAAGTCATGGAACAGAATATATTTAGTCTCAGACTCACTGCTTGGTTACAGGATCTTGGCCATCTCGAAAGCAAAATTCATGCTTTCCCTGCTTCCCATGGTCTTCCTTATTTTCTGTCTGAAAGATGTCCCGATTTAATCCTTGAAATGCTTTCTCAGAAGTCACTTATGCTGACTAATATGTCATATATATTGGTCAAATAGCAAAAATTACTTAGTTCTTGATGGTTTGTTGTCTTTTCAAAATTAGAAAGTATTTTGAGACTACTCTTTGTTGCCTCCATTCTCGTTGTTCTCAGCTATCTGTTTCACTGAATATTATGTTTACTTGCAGGAGATAGAGAAGGTGTTACCAAGTGTTCCACCTCCAGAGCCTAAGTATCAGCTGCGTAGAACAAGCTCCGCCCCTTTCTAACATCCAGTTTCATGTATGATGAATATGTAGATGCATAGTGTTCGTTATGTCATTGAAATTTTATGTTAGCTAGTCATCATCCGTCCATCTCCTTGTTCTCGGTTAACATCTTTGTTCAGGAGGTTGCCCTTGGCTGTCTCTACTTCTCTAGATAAGTTTCCTTGTATGTACATTTTTATAGTTTTAACTTGGAATTATGCAGACACATAGTTTTGGTAGTTTCCTTTCCGTTACTGTAAGCATTTCCAGTATGAATGATTTCTGGACAAGTTCAAAATGAAGTATTGTATGTTTCCAGTTGTATTAAAACAAAGGGAGAGGGGTAACCTGAAGTTTACGACTCTCATATTTGGATTAAGCTGAAGCTTTGCTCGGTTGTTTTCTAAGTTCAATTGGGAGATGTACGTGTTCCATGTGGATCAACATCTTTTGTCCTCCTTTATGTTGGAAGAAGCACTTATTATTGATATAAATATGTTAGATGCATAACTTGATTATAGTGTAGCTTTGTTAAATGTGAGCTAGTTCATCTTACTCTATAGAGAGCACAAAATTCTATGTTCTGTTAGTTGAAAGGGGTCGGTTAATGGAACTTTATTGTATTTGGTGTGTTTTAAGTCAAGGGTTTATTGGAAACAACTTCTTTACCTCCATTAGGTAGGGGTAAGGTCCGTGTACACACTATCCTTCCCAGAGCCACTTGTGAAAATTTACTGAATTTGTTGTTGTTGTATTGTATCTGGTGTGTGTGTGTATGGATGTGTCATCGATCTGGTGCAACACCGCGTGTAGGTAAGTTAACATTGGAGCTTTGTTAAGGTGAAAGGCTAATATAAGACCATTTGTTAACAGTAAGGATATCAAGCCGAAAATAAAACAAAAGGTAATTTTAAAACATTTCAAATGGTACATTTGAACATCTTCCCTAAATTATACTCCTCAAGTACAAAAGTTGCTTTGACGTAATGAAAATACTCTTTGAGGTTAACAATCTATTTTCCAAGCCCTAATAAACAAACCCATCTATTTTCCAAGCCCTAATGAAAGGAAAGGAAAGCAAAGATTTAGAGACACTAAGCAGACGTTTGGACATAAAAATTACTATAATTTTTGACAAAAAATAGTATTTGAAGATAAGTTGAAAAGTGAAATTATGTTTGGACGAAAAAATATTGTAGTTTTGTGAGTGGGGGAAAAAAATTGAAAATTTTGAAAAAGTGGTGAAATTTTGAAAATTGTCCAAAAACTAGCAAAATTTCATGGACAAACACATTTTTGAAAGAAAAAAAAAGTATAGTCCTAAGTAGTGTTTCTTCTGAAAGGGTGAAACACATTGGTTAAAATGAGTCTTCCAACAAGCTCTATACATGTGAATACTTGAGCAAGAAAGTCATTACTACATTTGTTTGCTAAAGACTAAATCCTAAACACCTCCGGCGATCAGCCTCTTTTGAAAGTTTTCAGCAGCTGGTTCTAATTTCCTCTAGCCTTTTCCAGGTCCGGAAGATCTGTAATCAAGAGACGAATTAATGTCACAACTGGGAAACTCCATCTCCTAATAAATAACTCACTTCTATCTAGCTGACATGTTGGTGCTATTCCTCTGTTAAAGGAAATGAGACCTAGACAAGTATCTGAGAGCAGCAGTGTAGTGATAAATGAGTTGACTGAAAAACTTAAACATTGCAACTGATATATACAACAAATTAAAAGCTATCCATCCCCATATTAGTGCTATCAGATAGGAATAACTCACAGAGCATTCCTCCATCGTCGCTGCTCTCATCATCTTCTCCAGTGTACTAAAAGAAGATACATTCAAGTCAAATTACTATGATCAAAGTCATTGCATGTAATGTTTAACTAGATCAGGGTAGGTATTACCTCAACATCATCGTCAGAGTCCGCTGCATGGAACAGAAATCTAGATTACTCTATGAGTATAATAGGAAATAACATGTACAGTAATACATGAGAAGGTAAGTTAGTGCAACAACAACAACAACAACGACCCAGTATAATCCCACAAGTGGGGTCTGGGGAGGGTAATATGTACGCAGACCTTACCCCTACCCCGAAGGGTAGAGAGGCTGTTTCCAGGAGACACTCGGCTAAAAAAAGCAACAGGAGCCGATATATTAGTACCATAAAAATGCATAATAAAATACCAGCAATATAAGAGATATGAAATACACAATACGAAATACAAAATAGATGGTTGGTATAGTACAACTAGCAGGTAAAGCCCTGCATCAATAGACGACCAATGACATTCTTAGTCTAACTCCTAACTGGCTAGTCTCACTCTATTGTGCTGTAGAAATATTCACAAGTTTCCCCTAACCTACAACCTTAATGCTCGACCTCCATAATTCCCTGTCAAGGGCCATGTCCTCAGTAATCCTAAGTCGCGCCATGTCCTGTCTGATCACCTCTCCCCAATACTTCTTAGGTCGCCCTCTACCTCTCCGCGTGCCCACTACAGCCAGTCGCTCACACCTCCTCACCGGTGCATCAGTGCTCCTCCTCTGAATGTGCCCGAACCATCTGAGTCTTACTTCCCGCATCTTGTCCTCCATGGGGGCCACGCCCACCTTCTCTCGAATATCTTCATTCCTAATCTTATCCATCCTTGTATGCCCGCACATCCACCTCAACATCCTCATCTCTGCTACTTTCATCTTCTGGATGTGTGAGTTCTTTACCGGCCAACATTCAGTTCCATATAACATGGCAGGCCTAACCACTGCTCTATAAAACTTACCTTTTAGTAACGGTGGCACTTTCTTGTCACACAAGACTCCCGACGCTAACCTCCACTTCATCCACCCCACCCCTATACGGTGTGTGACATCCTCGTCAATCTCCCCGATCCCCTGAATAACCGATCCAAGGTACTTGAAACTACCCCTCTTGGGAATGACTTGAGAGTCAAGCCTCACTTCAACTCCCGCTTCCGTCGGCTCAACTCCAAATTTGCACTCGAGGTATTCCGTCTTCGTCCTGCTCAACTTGAAACCTTTAGACTCAAGAGCATGTCTCCAAATCTCTAGCCTTTCGTTGACGCCGCCTCGTGTCTCGTCAATTAGAATAATGTCATCAGCAAATAGCATGCACCATGGCACCTCCCCTTGAGAGCATGTCCCCTTGAGAAGGTAAGTTAGTGCCAACTGCTGAAAAGCTTCAGTTCTTCCCAAAGTAGAAGAGAGAGAGAGAAGATGGAAGTAGGTAAGATGGTATCGTTCATCGCTATTCATAAACAGCTGTAAAAGACCACTAACTTGAGAGAGTTGATTATCACTATGGATGGAGAAAGGAAGAGGAAGGGAAGTGATGAAATGAAATTTAGTAACGGGATCAACCAGATGTTCAAAAATCGAATTATCTTGGGAAGTAGGAAGTGCAAACCTGCATGCCTAATCTCAGAGCACATTACCAGTTTACATCAACCAACTATATCGATTGCAAAATCAAAATTCTAGATAAACTAAGTTCCCTGGAGTTTCGTCTAGCAGTAAGAGCACATCGTGTGATGTGTGGGTATGGCACAAGTCACAGGTTCGTACCGTAGGTAAATGCCTGTTATATAAGTGGAGAATGATAGAGAGGTCAACCCATTATCCTTCGAGTTTCAAACCTTGTTCCACTGGCTCTCAGGGATTTCTCCATTATCAAAACTTTTTTTAGACAAACTAACACTTCGACTCAAAACTAAGACATGGAAAGGGAAGTTCAAAAAGTCCTCTTTGCCTAATTTTATTTTAATCGAGAAACTCCTGAGGGCTGTGGCACACGATTCAAAGGTCGGTGATAATGGGCCCGCCGCTCTACCTTCTCGACTTAAATACCAAGCTTTTGTCCCAAGACGGTTCAGACCTGTGACATGTGCCTAACCCACACATCACGCGATGTGCTCTTACCATTAAAATAAGAACGAAAATATAGAAAGAAGTAGATTACTGTCCTACCGGCACCAGGTTCAATAGTCAAATATAAGGAAAAAGGGTACTTCCCCACTTTGTCTCAAACCAGACAAAAGAAAGAAAATGGTTTTACTTTCTCATTCACTTATTTCTTCTGATTTTCCATTCTCTTCTACTCCTTTCCTTTTTTCAAAAAAGCCATACTCCTTTAATCAGGCATGAAAAGTCTGATTACAGACAGTCAGACTGAATACACTCAACCTGCAGTCTAATTACCAAAAGTTGCCTTTGATCAATCAAATGAAACGTCTTGCAGGGGAAGTAGAAAGAAAAGAAAATCAAAAGTATTGCTAATATTTCATCTGCCACTTAGGACCTACTCCAAAGCACAAAAAGAAAAAAAGAGGGAAGGGCGGAGATGGAGTTGAATTACAAATTAAAGGAAGAGTCAACAGCAAAACAGTAGTAAGATTAGCTGAACCGACAGGAGGCTTACCAGCATTAGGATTCATTAAATACTTAAGTTTTCTGATCTGCTCACTGTCTCAAATTAATGGAAAGATAGCCATAAAAATTTATGGAAATTTAAGGAAGCAAGTAATATGCAGCCAACTCACAAGATTCTTCATCATCTTCATCACACCATTTGTTCCAATCGACCTTGAGGTATGGGGCGGGCTTCTCTTCAGACTTCAATAATCTTGGCCACCAGCCTTTTTGCTCCTTTTGGATTGAGCAGAGGATGTTTCTCAACCCCACATTAGTTTTACACCGCTGGACCAAAATACACTCTAAAATATCAACCATGAGGATTCTCTAACATTGAAACAAATATGAAAAGGAAGAAATGTCCAGTTCAACTATAACATTTCTGTAAGAGAATAAACTATTCATATCTCATCTAAAAGGAGTAAGACAGTATACTATTATTCAAGCAAAAATTAACAGAAAGATTCTTTTAAGTCACGATAGACATAACACAGCTCAAGCCTCAATGCACATATCAGAATTAGGAAATAAAATATCCAACTATGCATAGCGAAGAGCAATCAAACAATGATACCAAGGTGCATACAAGATACTGCTAATAAGGTGCATACACTAGGGTTGCAAATCCCTTTCAACTTTGTAACTGCTAGTATCATCAGGTATAAAGGAACAGAAACTCACGATAAGCGTGCTTTCATACGATGCACTCTAAACTACCATCACGACATATATACAGTTTGAGGACATAATGTAAAATTCAAATTCTTCTTTCACTTTTTAATAGATTAACATGGATAGAGCATATGTACACTAAGCATTTTTCTAGCTTAATTTATAAATTCACTTCCAAAAGTAAATCACATATAAATGCAAAACATAACTACATACATGATACCAAACTATAGAAGAATATTGAAACAAGCAAAGCAAAGAAAACTTAAAGTCACAAACATAGGCCAGTAGGTGCACGGTCTGATATGCACTTCGTAACATTATGATAAATTTTTCTATCCATTTATATAGTCCAAGACCAAGCAGTGGGTAGATCTACCTTACTCCTCTGCAAAACAAAAAAAAAAGGTGTTACAACAGCTATGATTGAGCGACCAATGTACTAACCCTGTGAAACCCATTAGAAATCACAGCATAAAACCAAACATCCTGATTCAGAAACTAGAACCCTTTTTGTCAGAAGAACACCTCAATTGCAAACTAGTTATAGTCGGCTATATGAATCCTCAATATCTGCCTGACTCCAGTTGTATCCAATCTATTCCAATATTCAATACTTTGGGGTTCTCTAACATTTGAAGTTCGCCACATTTTATAACAGACAAATTCCAGAACAAACAAAAAATAATTATTAAAAATATCTAGCAAACACTGGTCGTAACGTGAATGTACCAACAACCATGTTCATCAAACTCAACATAATTGCTACATTTTTTTGATAACCAAGATTCTACGGAGGGCCAGTGATACACGATTCAAAAATCAGTGAATAATGGGTCATTGCTCCTCTACCCTTCTCCACTTATAAATGCTAGGCTTTTATCTGCGACAGGGTTCGAACCCGTGAAGTGCTCGATCTTACCAATAGACCAAAGCCCTAACGGCAACATAATTGCTACTGTGACAATATATTAAAGCCTTTTGTTGACAAATATCTTAACCAAAACCATGTGGCAGCCCTTCTAGAATCTATAAGATAAATGGCAAAATGCTTTTGAAAAGTGGCAATTGCATTTGCCACGTTCTTTCCCCTCAACATGATGGATCCATGCACATGTGCCTATAAATAGATTACTAAATTTTTTAGAAGGAAAGACAAGGGAAGCTGGTGTAGAACGAAGAAGCAAAGGAAAGTTGTTGATGGTTGATGCCTAATTTGAATGCCTATTTATAGGCTTTAAGAGAGGTTTGAAGCATGACAAGTATATAATACTTTTTCCACGCAAGATTGCCACACTCATTTCTCCTCTGCCACTTGAAGGACATTTGTCCAATTTTGAAAATATCACAATAGTTCCCTCACATATTTTCAAAAAAATCATACAAAGAGGAGTAAGATTTGCTGGATTTGTATGGTCCAAATGCAATAGGTTTTGTATCTTTTGGATTATGAACCAAACTTAGACTGATAAAATTTAACTTACAGAATCACATGTGAAATATAACATTGCTATGAACTAATAATTCTATTGTAAGTTAGAGATTTTATCAATCACATTTTGACCCCCATAATTTTGTTGTTCAACGCGGTTTTGCGCCCAATAAGCCATACGCATGCCTGGTTATTCATGAGAACTCTAGAGACTAGGTCAAAATCTCATAGGAACGGCCCCACTCCACTCTTATATAGGTGAATTCATCAAGTATATACTGCTTTTAAATACACCATCCATAAGGAATATGAATTCATTAAGAGTTATAACTCAATCTCTCAATTAGTAGTAGTCAAGCACTCTCTTTTAGTGTTTCAGTGTCAATATCGACTTGTTATTACCCATATGAACCTACTTCATGAGATCTCCAATCACATAGGTTGGGTTACTATCTCTATTGACAACATGTCGGCCTTAACCTCATCTCTCTTGAGGTTTGGAGAATTAATTTTCTTCCCACAAGTTTAGTCAGAGGATCGACGAAATTTATTTCTGACTTCACATAGTCAATGGAAATTATTCCATCTCTCAACAACTGTTTTATGACATCATGTCTCAATTTCATGTGTCTACTTTTACAATTATATGATTTATTCTTTGCAATAGTTATTGCCGCTTGACAATCAAAATGAATAGACACGGTACGTCCTTTATTAAAGAAATATTAGCTAAGAAGTTTCTTAGCTACTCAGCCTCAGAACCCGCTAACTCTAGAGCTACAAGCTCTGATTCCATAGTCGATCTAGCTATGATCATCTATTTAGTTGATTTCCACGATATTGCACCACCACCAAGGGTGAATACATAACCATTAGTGAATTTTGTCTCATCTGAATCGGAGATCCAGTTTGCATCACTGTACCCTTCTAAAGTATAAGGAAATCCACTATTAGGATACCATAATTCATGGTTCCTCTCAAATATTTCATTAGTCTAGCTAATACAGACCAATGTTCTCTGTTGGGATTATGAGTATATCTACTAAGTCTACACACAACATAGGCTATAGCAGGCCTTGTAAAATTCATTAAATGCATCAGACTCCCAATAATCTGAGCATATCTAGACTGAGCAACTAGATCACCATTATGCTTTTTCAACTGAGAGTTAGCATCAAAAGTAGTGCTCACAGAAATATTATTTTTCTCTAGTAATTCGGTAAGTTAAATTTTATCAGTCTATGTTTGGTTCATAGTCCAAAAGACACCAAATCTATTGCATGTGGACCATACAAATCCATCAAATCTTATTCCTTTTTGTATGAATTTTTTGAAAATATTGTGGGGGTAACTGTTGTGATATTTTCAAAATTGGACAAATGTCATTCCAAGTGGCAATGGAGAAATGAATGTGGCAATCTTGCAGGGAAAATTCAAGACAAGTGTTATACACTTGTCATGCGTCAAACCTCCCTTAAAGACTATAAATAGGCATTCAAATTAGGCATCAATCATTAGCAACTTTCCTTTGCCTCTTCTCTCTACACCAGCTTCCCTTGTCTATCCTTCTCAAAAATTTAGTAGTCTATTTTCTTTTGTTCCCCTCTTTTGTATAGCAAGTAGAGGTAGGCTTGTTTAATCCTGGAGAAACATTTCACATTGTTGAAATAGTTTCTTAGGACAATGCCCATCACGACTCAAGCCAAGCCAATTCGTGTATTTGCTTATAAATAATATTATATCAGTGTTATTGTTATTCTTCCCGTGTTATTTTACTACAGCTACTACATTTTGTACCCGTTTCATTCAATAATTTAGGGTTTCTATAATATATATACAAAACCCTAAACAAACTATTAAAAGAGCTCCTAGCAAACACAGGACTAACATTACACGTACCAACAACTCCTTTCTCAACAAATTAGCCACCCAAAAAAAATCTATGCAGAAAATAGTAAAAAGAATAGGAGGTGAACCTCAGGGGAAATATTCCCATAAAGTTGGAGAGTGAAGGTAAAGGAATCGCCTTGGACACCAACAGCACAGAAATTAAAAACACCATCTCCTTCACATTTCAATGTTACGTCTTTAGCATCAGGCAATGATATGGTCAAGTAAATTTTCTCAGATCGTTGAGCCCAAAGAACTTCTGGTTGACGACTGCACATTTTTTCAAAATTTTAAATACAACTCGGAAAGGAGAAAAGATTTGCAAATTATGAATTTTCTCCAAAATGGGTACCTCATTTTTTTGGAGAGAAATTGCAGGTTTGTTTCGTCTATTGAATCAGTTGATGTCGCCTCTTCCCCTACTTTTCGAGTTTAGAACCAAAGTTTTTCGACTAGCAGTCCTTAGTTCGCACTTACCCTTGTGACTTAAGTCCTTAGACAATCCAAAATAATCGAACCGAAATGCTTATTATTTAGGGGTGTTCAAAACTGAACGAAACCGAAAATCTGAATCGAAATGTTTAATGGCTTAATCATATCGAGTTAACGGTTTAACGGACGGGGAACATATTAAAATTTTTTTAGTAACGGTTTATCGATTTGGGGGCGGATTATTCAATTTTCTCGGATAATCCGTTAACCCGTTAAGAATATATATATATATATATTAAATAATCAAAACTCTTCTTCGACTTCCACTACTCTATCTCTATTCTCTATTACTAATTTACTATTAGACAAATTTTAATTGCTTGCTTCGCGCATTCTTTTCAATCCTATCAAACCAAAAACAATTTACTTGATTGCTTCACGTATTCTTACCACCTCCCGTAGGTGCAGTGAAAGTATCAAAACTTAACAAACAAGAGATAGTTTAACGAGTAAAATCTACTGTTAAATTGGGTTTAACACATACATATGCAAGTTTGCTTGCATGTAAAAAAAAACGTTAGTCCGCACATATTTCGGCACGTGTTCTTGGATTGTTTAGAAATTAGAGCGATATCTAAAGAAAATTGGAGCAGTTATAAAACAAGAGCAAGAAATCTCATTCTTTGACCAACATCAGCATACATTTGAATCACGACGAAGCACAATATTCCACATACAAAATAAGAGCAAGAAATTATATTATATTATTATTTTATTGTTTAGGTTAAAAAATTAGTCCACATACAAAAAGTTACTCATACTAGATCGAATCATCAAACTCAAGCACAATATTCTTGAGTTCAAACTTTTAAAAGTAAAAGTCGAAAATACTGTCCTGGAGTTTACACTTATGTAAATAAAACTACATCACATTCTCCTAGAATACAAGAAGGAGGCGATTTAAACTTTATGAATTTTTTCTGGAGTTTGCAACTTTATGTTGGAGTAAATTTCAAACTCCTATACATTGCTGGAGGTTTTCTGTATTTTTTCTAAGAGTATTTGTGTTTAAATTTCATTTCGTATTAAAAAGAGGCTAAAGTTTACTATATAAAATGTCCATTCTTTTTTTAAAAAAAAAAATTACGCGACACATCAAATATTTAAACTCCATTTACCATTCGTAATTATATTTTTAGCAAATTCACCATTCGTAACTATAATTGAATTTTATAGCAAATCCATGAAATAAGAGATTAATTGTTTTGAATTGAAACGAGAGAGCAACAAGCTCTCGCAGTTCACTATAGTTTAGAGTCTAATAACTATAATTTGCCTAATTACCATTCGTAACTTTGAACTATGAGAGCTTGTTGCTCTGTTATTTCAATTCAAAATAATTAATCTCTTATTTCATGGATTTAGAGCCAACTGAGTTACGAGAGCTTGTTGCTCTCTTATTTCAGTTCAAAATAATTAGTCTCTTATTTTATGGATTTGTTATAAAATTTAAATATAGCTACAAATGATAAATTTATTGAAGGTATAGCTACAAATGATAAATACAGTATAAAAATTTTATGTGTCGCGTAATTTTCCTTTTTTTTCTTCTTGATTATGTAAGAGGATTGGACTTGGGCATCATAACCTTACATGGGCCAACCCACATCTAATTGGAGTTTGGCCCATTAAAGTTTTATAAGCCCATTCATCTCCAGCGTAGAGGAGAAACATATCGACTAACAAAGGCAGTTTCCCTTCTCTTCCCACTTTCCAGAAAACCTTAAACCCTTGAAAAGCTTCCATGGCGGTAAGTACTCAAATACCATTCTTCAATAGTTGCTCTTGCTTTTATATCCTCCTTATAGTGCTGTTACTTTGTTCTTCTTTGCTATCTGGTGCTATTAATTAATATTATTGTTTTACCTTATTATTACAAAAGTATATTTATTTGTTGCTGAATAGTTGTATTATACTTCTTACTGTTTCTCTGGATAATAAACCTGCAACATGTGATGCACCGTGCTCAGCATTTTTTTTTATCGAGAGTCTAACTAAGCTAACTTAACCAACATTCTAAATAACGTATTTTTTTCGGTCAATTTGATATGAGAATAGTACTTTTAGTTTTTTCCTTTAAATTTCTTAATTTTAATTTGGGAAAAAATTAATATATCTAGTCTGAATTAGTTTAATCAATTTGTCGAATTCATTCTAGTTCAGCAGAATTACCAAACAAATTGAAACATAGAGGGTAGATCCTAAGTATTGGTGCAGCTTATTTTAGAAGCTTGTTGGTAGCCCCAAGGGCTTAGTTCAAGTGGCAAAGATTGAGGGGACTTGTGACTTAGGTCGTAGCTATACCATGTGAACTAAGCCTGGTATTTAAGTGGTGAAGGGTAGAGGGTGCACTTATTATCCCTTAGTTTCGAAGGCTGCAGTTGGTCCTAAGGATTGGCCCCAGATGGGTTTCTCGGTCGTAAAAAAAATTCAGACCAGGGCTATTGGCACTAAAGTTTGTATCTTTGCTATATTAATCATCATGGTGTTCTATCATTTAGTCTATGCTGAGATTGGAAATACAAATAGAGTAATGTACTGTATTTAGAAACTTTGGGGTTCTGATTCTGAATAGCTTTTAATATGTGGTCATTGCAGACAGTGCCAGTTAATCCCAAGCCTTTTTTGAACAATTTGACTGGAAAGCCTGTGATGGTAAAGCTAAAGTGGGGAATGGAGTACAAAGGTACTCTGCTGATTGGACTTAGTGGTTCCTAATATTATGCTCTGCGTTAAGGTTTTTTAGATTGAGATGTCTGCAAACATTGTTTAACTAACTCCTTTTGTCTTGTCTCTTTCTAGGGTATCTGGTCTCCGTGGATTCATACATGAACTTGCAGGTAATAATGTTAATTTGAGTTTCTGCCCTTTTCCTTTTCAAATTGTCTAAAGAACATTATTAAGTGGATGTATGTGCATCTATATCTTTATGATATGCTTGACAATATTACTATTACTGCTATCCATCAGGGGCGTGAGTGCTGTCTAGATAACCGCATTTACTACTACTGTATTAAGAATTTTGTTATGCAAGCAAGTTGAAAAGATTTTTTCCTAATATCAAACTTTGTTGGTCCAATTCTGTTTTTTTTTTTGTTGTTGACTTTGCAGTTGTGGGGACATTTGCTTTTTAGTTTTTTTTTTTTTTTTTTTTTTTTTTTTTTTTTTTTCTGTATGTGGATCTGGGGTGGGGATGGACTGTGTTCAATAAACTCAGAGCTATGTTCAAGAGAAAGTAGCACTATGTTTTTTGCAATAATATAGATTGATCAAGGATGCAATGAAATGTCAAAACTAACAGAAACAAAGCTAGTGAGCTATTACATGTTTGGAGCCCCTTGCACAGTATTTCCTTGTACCTGAACTGTAGCTATTTGGGAGATCTCAGCTTCACACTGACTAATAACCTGTTTGGCCAAGCTTTTTTTTTGGGCCAAAAGTGTTTTTGGCCAAAAATTGAGGTGTTTGACCAAGCTTTTGGAAGGAAAAAAGTGCTTTTGAGGAGAAGCAGAAACAGTTTTGGAGAAGCAGAAAAAAGTAGCTTATCTCCAAAAGCACTTTTCTGAGAAGCACTTTTGAGAAAAATACACTTAGAAGCAATTTTCAAAAGTTTGGTCAAACACTAATTACTGCTCAAAAGTGCTTTTCAAATTAATTAGCCAAACACAAACTACTTCTCACCAGAAGTTCTTTTTTAAAAAGTACTTTTGAGAAAAGCACTTCTCAAAATAAGCTGATTTTAGAAGCTTGGCCAAACGGGCTATAAGGCAGTTGTTTCATCTCAGAAACTTCTGTTAGTCCTTCTTTTCATACAAACCTGAAGATGCAGTGGGGATGCCATCCAATCCGAGTTTTGCATTTGAATTTGCTAACTTATGATGCCTTTCCTATATCTTAGTGACGTACAAATTGCTCAAGGAGTCAACTATGCAGCAACGCAAAGACCATTCTCAAAGGTCCTGCACAGTAATGACGTAGGAGATGATTAGCTCATTTAATTGTCTGCAGCACATAAACATATGCTTCCCAATCTTAGGTGCGCCTTTGAAGATTATCTTGGATAAGGATAGATTCATGTATCCTGACTACATAAAAAACCTGACTTTGGGAGGAGAGTCTGTTTACAAATGGCTTTACAACTAAAACCAGAAAAATAATGAGCATCAAAAAAACAAAATTTACAGTAAAAGCATTTTACATTCATTGTCCAAAGAAGTAATTGCAAGCTCCCAGTAACCTGCTTGTTTTATAGAAGTGTACATGCGTGCGTGTTTTTCTGTGTGTGATTTTCTGAAATCATGTTATTCTTTTTGCAGCTTGCAAACGCAGAAGAATACATTGATGGACAATGCACTGGTTCTCTTGGAGAGATCCTGATTAGGTACCTTCGTGGCTTCGTCTTTTGATCTTGATAATCTTATTTGAAATTAATGCCAACAGCTGAACATAATAATAATACTATCATGGTTATTTTTAAAAAAAACATAATAATCGTAATAGCTCAAAAGCCACCTTCATTTCTTCCCCTCCCCCTGGCTCTCTTTTCTGCCTGCATCAGGTAGCAGGCGTATAAAGCTGAAGAAACATGTGTAGAGTTGTAAATGGAGCTCATCCTCTTTCTTCCTTGGTTGACGTCTTTTTAAAAAAAATTGGTTCCTATACTTGGTTGAATTTAGGAGGTGGAAATATGGAGATTTTTCTTTGTTTTTCATCTTTTAAATTAGTTGCATGTCTCATGTGAATGACAAGTATTAGGCCAGTATGACAAATGTTTGATGTACTCTAGTTGCCCTGCTGCCTTCGTGATATGAGTGAGTATGCAGACATTCGTAGCGTTTCAAAAGTAATCTCTTATTGCTAAGGAATGTAATCCTTACCTGCGGATTTGATGTTCCATCTTCCTCACAATACCATTCTCCAATTGGATCAGTTACATCCTTTTCCTTCTAGCATAAGGCTGGAACAATTAAGACCATAAACGTTGCCTCCCTGTTTTCATTTTTTTTATTTTCAATTCTCGTAAAAAGAGCACCTTAAATATATATTGATTATTGATTGGTTTATAAGTTCATGATTTGGAATTATCTATTTGGTAGTTGTCTGACACATCACTCTATGATAGCGATCTATTTAGCTCTTACAAATTTACCTGTTAATTTGGAAGAATCAATTGTGTCATGGCAAATTACCAATTTACTTTTGGCAGTCTTTTCATATAGTTATATAACTTTATTTGTAAAAGCATTTACGAGTGAAATGGCTGCTCCCTAACTAAAATGTGACCTCTCTTCTTAACCTTAGTGATTTCGCTTTTGCAGATGTAATAATGTCCTCTATCTTCGTGGTGTACCTGAGGATGAAGAATTGGAAGATGCCGACGGCGACTAGTAGTGTGATCGTTCTTTTAGTGCAATCAGATTTCTGGTTCATTGATCATGATGGAACAACATATTCGTCTCCTTGAATGTATTATACATTATGTGTGAACTTTCCTAGATGCTACTATCTAATGTATGATGATGGATAGTTAGGGAAGATGTTGATGGCCTTAATATCCGAATCATATTTCATGAATACTCATCAATACCGCTCTATTAGCAGAACCAAATTGCTTGCACGCGGAAGAGAAGCTTTTTTCACTATAGAACAAAATGAAATGGAAACGCCTCCCTTCTTCATATTGAGGAACTTGATATACTCTACGACTCTGTGGATTCAAGTAGCTTTTTGGAGTGTGTTAATGGTCTATTTTGTTTCTCCACGTGGCAGCAACCTGCTAAAATTTGCAATCCCAGTACATGAGAAGATTTCTTTCCGACATAGATATGGACCGGTATTGTCACTTTTCATTAGGTTATAAACCAGAAGAAAAGATTTATAAAGTTCTTTTCATGAGACTCGAAAATACGAGAAGGTATTTTGAAACATACAAAAGAAACTGAATTTTCACTTTACGCATAGACAAATCTTGGAAGAAGATCGAAACCATTTCCCAGTTTAATCGATTGAAGGAGGGAGTTTGCATTAACGGAGCTATCTATATGTTGAATGGTTTTACTGGGAAGAAAAGTATAGTTGCATTTGATGTGAAAGCCGAGAGTTTCAGAAAGGAGTATTATATTACGGGAAGCTTTACACCACGATTTAAATAATTATCACCTAATAGAAGTAAAGGGAAAATTAGCCCAACTTGAAGAATGGGAGAGGCATTTCATTACTGGCTTTCACTTGGTTTATAAGGATATGCAATTCCATAGAATGCATTTTTGTCCCCAGACATACAATGGAGAGATTATAGTTGTTGCTAAAGTGAAGCTCTATGAAATCCAAGGATCTCGCGGAAAGAATTCAATTTAAGGCATTTATCAATGTGTAGAAAGCCTCTTACCATTGGAAAATTGCAGTGCTGCTCAACAAGGTTCAAATGTTACCTGACGTTATGCTCAGAATAGACAATTCAGTAATATTGTATCACCAAATGTCACAGAAAGCACAAAGAAAGTAAGATATATAGCAGAAAGAAACTATAAATATAGAAACTGCATGGATATCAATGTGGCCTGTTTTAGGCAAACTATTCCCCTAAAACTCTACATTGCTTTACATCCATTCAGATATCCTTACATTCTTCAGCGTTCAACTTGATAAGAATTAAGAACAAAAATGATATCCTAAAAAGGGAAATCTAGCTGTATGTAAAGATAACATTATTTTTCCACAAAAACAATCAACTGATACACAGTAATAACTCAAATCAGCTGTTCTTGAATATATGTAACAACCTCTGCATTTTCATGCTACCTGACAAAGCCAACTACGTCGTGACAAAAAGCCACAAGATCAAACCGTTAGAATCAAGCAAGTGCAAGATGACCTCGTCCTCCACAGTCTGAACACATTATGTTACCAGAACCCCCACAACCTGCAATGTCAAATTGTAAGAGTAAACTATCTGGCCGCTTTCAGAACTCAATAAAAATGCTTCTAGAATCATTTAGGTGAAATTTAAAGAAAAAAGGAACGATATAAGCAGGAACTGAAATACATGAGTAGTTTCAACAAAAGAAGAAATATTGTTAAGAAAGAGCATCCACGGTTTTTAATGATTTGAAGTTTGGACATTGACGAGGAGCAGATTCAGAATATCTTTTCAGATCAAATTAGTTCCAGTATTAGCAAAAGGTCTTTTTAGACAGGTTAGAGACTTTTATGTCAATGTAGGGATAATTGTCAGATATAGTGAGCTTCTAGTTTTAAAGAAACCCTAAAAAGACAACGCATCTACTATTGGGATGAAATGGATGCAAACAGAACAAAATGTATACGGGGGATTCACATAGACACCCCAAATAGTTTAAGATTAAGGCATAGTTTTGCTTTAGCAATCTTATAATTAATTTTATCATTCTAAGTGCGGATTTACAGTAATTGACAGCAATAGGGTTCTTGAACCTTATTTTATGTTTTAGCATAGTGTAATCTCAACCACATTTTCTAGATGAGATTACCAAGTTCTCAAAACACCTACATTTTGTCATGGCTTCCAAGTTCTAGAAAAATGGTGTGAAAACTCAGCTTGCAAGTTCATTTGTTCCCTAGAAGTTAGTGGTCTCTGTGTTATGATTCTCTCGTTGTATGGCCATAAAATTTCTATATTCATGGGTCGTCACTCGTCAGAGGCTGAAGCCTCTTGCCCCAAAGCTATGAGTTTCTACTGATTAGGCTAGCTGAAAGAAATTAAAATGAGAAATGCCCAGGCAATAGCTTTCAAGTTCCAACTATCCAGGATAGGATGAATTTGAAAAGCAGTTAAACTTGTCTACTTTTTCTCATTTCAAAATTTCTTAAGTGATTCACTTGTAACAGCAAAATAGTAATATATCATCAATTTCCACCACAAGGAATTAAATCCCTCAGCCTTGGATAATCCTCAAGTACGGAATATTGCAATGTTATGGACCTAAACAATGCATTTATGATATTGAGGATTCATACAGCCTACCGCAACTCGCTTGGGATTGAGGCGTAGTTGTTGTTGGGAGTTAAATCCTTTAATCAGAAAAGAAAAATTGATTAGCTATGGACCTACACTAAAAGATAAAGTGATGTACTTTCAAGGTTTTGCACCTCTCAAGTACAAAGAAGAGAGAAAAACAAAAGCACCCCGCTAAAGTTTTTCACAAAACTAGCGAAAGCGTTCTTCAAACTCACGTTAGAAGAATGTAAGATGGAAATAAACCTCACCCACACGTTCCCCAATCCCGCAAGATTGCAAGAAGCGTTGAATAAAGGAAGAACAATGAAATAAAAAGTAAATCACGTTTTTGAAGCAATAGCTTAGAAAAACTAATCACCAATGTTTATTTTCAGCATATTAAGCCCTTTAAATAGGCCTTACAATGAGTAAAATTGGTAAGGTTAAGGAAAACTAATCCTAATTAGACTAGAATAAGAATAAGGCTAAGAAAATCTATCCTAACTAAAATAGGAAAAAGAATTCTAGTAAGAATGGGATACCAACTAACAATTCTAGTTTGACTAGAACTACAAATATAATCCTACTAAAACAAGAATTAAATTACTAGGAAATAAGAAATAACAAATCCTAATCTTTAAGGAAAAGAAATCCTAATCTTGGATGGATTCTTCGCTTCTTGAATTTCATGAATTTTTAGCATTCTTGATCTTGCATCATTCTCCCCTGGTTGAAAAAGACTCGTCCTCGAGTCTAACAGCTTCCATAGATGGCGCAAGATTTGCTATAGTAAGAACGGAGACCCAAGGGGAAAAAAATGGGGACCCAATGCTCACCAGGTTTTAAGTTACATTTTGCTAGTTTATCATAGAGCTTCTTCACGTTATAAGCAAATTTGGCATATGGTCGAACTAAATCCCACTTTCTATGTTTCAACTTTCTACCAAGTCTTCTCCATGTAATCTTTCTATATGGACTCTCAAACTTCAACTTACGATATGAAGTTATTGGTATAGACTTAACTAACTCCATGTCTAGCTTTGAGTTAAGCATGGAGATCAACGCTCTTCTTGGGAATGCATCAATTGCATCGCTCATACACCAACAGACACTTTGATGATAGCCATATATACTTATGACGTTAAGACATCTTGTCTCTCCAATATCTGGTCTCAAACTCTCCATTACCCACTCCTTTATAGGTAATTTTTCCTCTTGTTCTAGCATATTTCTATGAACTTTAGAATTAACGCAATATGTTGCCTTGTTTGGATTGATTGAGTCAACAATCAAGTCAATATTGTGTTGAGCATCTCTGGACGGTGAAAAGTCAACAACACATATGGCTGGATAATCCAATGGATCGTCATAAAACTTTGGTGGTAATTCCTCAAGTTTTGGATCTAATGCATGTTCCTCGTCTCTTTGATATTGGTCTTTATCAGCTTTGTCTTCTTCACGCCCCTGATTATCTGAATATTTATCATAATGGGCATAGTGCCTTGGTTCTCTTGTGCCTTGGTCAGCTTCAACCTCTTCAGTTGTTTGTGAATGAATTGGTGGATATAGAAGTGGTAGATGTGGCGGTTGTAGGCGTTGTGGCGGAGTTGGTAGTTGATATTGAAACACCAAACCTTCAACTAATTTAGTCAGATTCTCCATTGATTCCTTCAAGTTATTTAGCTGCACTTTAATTTCTTCGTTGTCTCGTTCAAGGATTCTAATTCTTAATTTATGAACTTGTAATTGAAGATCCATTGAAGAGGATCTTGAAAAGGATCCTGAACTTGGTATTTTCTTGTTTGGTGACACGATGAATAAAGTAGCAAATCAAGAATTCGGACCTGGAACTTGAGCTCTGATACCAAATTGATGTACTTTCAAGGTTTTGCACCTCTCAAGTACAAAGAAGAGAGAAAAACAAAAGCACCCCGCTAAAGTTTTTCACAAAACTAGCGAAAGCGTTCTTCAAACTCACGTTAGAAGAATGTAAGATGGAAATAAACCTCACCCACACGTTCCCCAATCCCGCAAGATTGCAAGAAGCGTTGAATAAAGGAAGAACAATGAAATAAAAAGTAAATCACGTTTTTGAAGCAATAGCTTAGAAAAACTAATCACCAATGTTTATTTTCAGCATATTAAGCCCTTTAAATAGGCCTTACAATGAGTAAAATTGGTAAGGTTAAGGAAAACTAATCCTAATTAGACTAGAATAAGAATAAGGCTAAGAAAATCTATCCTAACTAAAATAGGAAAAAGAATTCTAGTAAGAATGGGATACCAACTAACAATTCTAGTTTGACTAGAACTACAAATATAATCCTACTAAAACAAGAATTAAATTACTAGGAAATAAGAAATAACAAATCATAATCTTTAAGGAAAAGAAATCCTAATCTTGGATGGATTCTTCGCTTCTTGAATTTCATGAATTTTTAGCATTCTTGATCTTGCATCATAAAGAGCAGAAATATACGGGATACAAGTCAAAAATATGTCCAACAACCAGCACACATTGACAAAGATTGAAGGAAATCTAGAATGTGAAGGGAAAGAGAGAAGAAAAGAACTTACCTAAGCATCTAACTTTGACAATTATCCCCTGA